AAGGAGGCCCCGTTTCAGCATCACTGCCTTAATCGTGGCCTCTCCAGGGCTGGGTGGGGTTTTCCCCTCTCTTCATTCCTTCCGAGGCAGAAGGGAGTTCCTCTCCTCTCCTCTGTTTTCCCTGGAGGGAGGCATTACAAAGCATTTGTACATTGTCTCAGGCGTGAGGACGCCTTCCCCTCGGGACTCTCCCCATTACCCTCTTCAATCTTCACACGCTAGGTCCAGCCTAAGGAACTAACTGTTTTGAGAAAGCAAGGTGGGGGCAGCAGCTTGGTGGTCTAGGTAGTAGCTGGCTGACTAGCATCTTTCTCTAGCTTTATGGTGCATCTCCCTTCTTTGTCCAAGGTTGTAAGGCCTTGTGTTTCCCTGGTGTCACAGACATAGAACAGAGCCCCCAAAGCCATGTGGCCATTTCCCCAGCATCATTCCCTGGTTCCCACGGGCCTTCCTGCAGGTGGGGGAAGAGGGCTCTGGTGCCCTTCAGCTCCTGAAGGAAAATGGGGGCTTCTGATTCTAAGGGTCAGGGTTAGATCTCTATCCTAATGTTGTGGGAAGGGCATTTCTCAAGGCCCACCCTAAGGGTTAGTTTAGCCCTTCAGTCAAATCTACCATCTGGGCCCAGCCAAGATTTTCTGACTAAGCAATAAGAGGCTCTAAGCTGATCCAGTTCCTAGGACCCTTCATGTTCCTCCAGGTGAAGAGCCTGTGTCAGCCCCTTTCCTGTTAGGCTTGTCCAAGTGCTCTAGTGTAACTCTGACCAGAGCGCGCAGGATAGCTTGGGAGTGTCCTCAGGTCTTCTGCATGAGGCCCCTGCTCCCATCAGAACTCTGCCCTGCCCACCTGCAGATCCTCTCAACAGATAAGCCATTTCCACTTCCCCAGAGAAGCAAGGAGGCCAAATAAATCTAAACAGGGTCCATCCGTGTGGACCAGAGCCAGCCTCATTTTCTGTCTGGTTTCCATTTTCACAGTGTGTTAGGGGCAAGTGAAGATTGCTCCTGAGAGGAATCAGCCCAGACCCAGTTTTGGAGGGAAAGATTGGGAGGGAGCCGGTCCACCTCAGGATCTGTGCTAGGGGTTCCACCAGCCCTTCCTGTTTGAGGCTGGTCTTTGGAAGGCAATTGGCTGCCATGCCTGGTCAGCACCAATTCAAGCCATGCTAGGAATGTGCCCACCTGCCAGGTTCAGTTCTTTAATGTGCCTCTTCAAGGACACAGTGTGTCTCTCTGATTGGGCTTCTAAATCAAAAGCCTGATGTTCGTGTCCCTCTCATAGGGGGAGCTTTGGACACAGGACCAGTTTGGAAAGGGTCAGGTAAGAGTTTTCACTCTGCACATTGTAGAGGGGACACTCTGTAGGCCCACAGGTCCCTTACTATATAGAGACGTTGAGTAAATTTGCCTTCAGTTAACCTGGGACCTTCTGTTTAGTTCCTTCCTGCCTCCCAAAGATTTTGATCATTTTGTAAATGTACAAACTCCTCTGTTAACAGTGGCCAAGAAGCTTTGTGCTAAAAAAAAAAAAAAGCATGGGAAATCTAAAGGCACCCATCCCCTGGGGCATGGATGCCTCTGTTCTGCTACCCCTGCCCTGTTCCCAAGGCCTCATTCAGTAGGGCAGCCCCCTTGTAATGCTGTCAGAGCCAGGCCTAGTGTCTGAGGAAGGTAAGCCTATTTTCCCCTTTATGTCTTCAGTTGGTTACTTTACAATTTTTGCCCCTCAATCACTTTGTAAAATGGGTTTTAGGTCCCCTCCACCCCTTTAACAGCAAATATTTGCATTCAAGCAGGAGAGGGAAGGCAGAGGTCTGGCCTGCTGCCCCTGGACCAGACCCTCCTCCAGGGCCTCATGAGCTTACTCATTTGTAGCTACCCCCAGTTTGACACGTTCCACGTCAGTGCCACTTTCCCCCTTCAAGATGCCATTTGGAGGGTGGGGGATCTGCTTCCTACTGTGACTGGGCTGTGGGATTCTGACTACCTTGCTTACAGATTCATGGTTTGATAAATTTGTATTCAAAAACTTGAAATGTAGGACGCCATTAAGTGTCTGTTTATATTTTTGGAATATTTGTATTACTTACAATTAATAAAAGCGGGTTTAAAAAACCCACCCAGGAATGGGCGCTGCCTCCTGACCCTGCTGTTCATTTGGGCACTTGCCGGGCACACCCTTCACCCCTCGCAACCCCCCTGTCATGACAAAGCTGGAGTCCCGTGGCTGGGAGACCAGCTGTGGACTTGGCATAGGCTTCTCAAGGTCACAGAGGTCGGGCTACATTAGCTCTCCCCTGACCCCCAATGGAACCAACCTCATCGCCATCTGGGTGCTTAATAAGCATATGCTTGGTGTCCTATTGACTTCTGGGGATGAACCAGCAGCCCCAGGTGACTTGGAGTCTTCATTTTTCTGTGCCCCTTACTGATGTTCCCAAACCAGGATGGTTCCTGGCACATAGTAGGCACTCAAATATTGATTGGACTGATGCATGACCCCAAGGAGCAAATCAGGATGAGGTAATAACACACTCCTGGCCCCTCTCCTAGACTTCCTCTCCCTCTGCAAAATGCCCAGAAGCTTCTCAGGGAGGTGCTTGCCAGCCTGAACATCCCAGGCCCCGGTGGGCAGCTCTAGCCCTTGCCTCCTGTCAGCATAATGCATCCATATCTACAATATGGCAAATTTCATATCCTCCCACCCTCTTTCCTGCATTATTGATGGGCTATGCACTTTTTAAAAATCAATTAGATCAGGGCGTGGAGCTGGAGTTAAAAAAAAAAAAAAGCCTTTAAAAGTCTGCTCTTGTTTTTCGCTGTTTTGAATAGGAACAGATAAAGCTTTCCCTCTGGTTTGAATAAGTCAAGCCCAGGGCTAGGTCGGCTGTGATTGGCCCGGACTGACTAGGAAAATGTGGTTAAGATGCAAACCCAAGCAAATATAACCCAGTGTCTGTGCGGCCATTATAAGCTCAGGCAGCAGACCTGGAGACTCCTGCTTTGGGGTGGTGCTTCACAAGCACTGCTGCTTACTCGCCAGCAAACTGGGAAGCCGGTGGGAGAGAAGGCAAGGTAAGGTCTGTTGGGTTTATGGGTGCATGTCAGTCGAGCTATCCTACTGAACAAGGAAGGAACGAAAGGAAGAGGAGATGGCGATTTCCCTGGCTTTGTCTTCTTGGATGAGGCTTTTGAAGGGTTGAACCAGGAGTTTGTGACCAGTTTTGCAAACTTCTAAAAAACCAAGGCCCTTTTTAAAGACCACTGAACAGATAAGGCACATTTTTAAAAGCTGGGGATGAAGAAGACCCCTCAGACAGTATGGGGCCAGGCAGAAGTTAAAACCTGCAGCCTCTGTTTGGGGTCCATTCATACTGATATCTCTGTAAGATTTAAGGGCCACTGGTGTTTAACCCGGGATTTCAAAACTGCACCCCACCCCAGGGTTTCTGCAGTGATCTTAAAGGGTGCTGAGTTAATAAGGACTTGGGAAGGAGGGAGGGAATGACTGACCAAGTTTTGGGGAAATCTGATGTCACAGATGGAGTCACATTTTCTGGGTGTTCCAGTGTGGCAGGAATCCCTTTGAGCATGTCCTCTCCTGCATTTGGGGGACCCAGGACCCATATGATCCTTCCCAATAGCTAAATCCCTGCTGGCAAATGGGACTGCTTTTGGCCTCTAAGACTCAAGGCCCTAATTAATGCCAGTTGGTTTGGCTTTTACCAGGTTGATGCTTCTCTATCTTCAAGGAGTGAATTCATTGGCCCCTGTCCCCTTCCCCTAGTTGGCTAACAGCATTTGCCTTTAATGACTAAAGTCTAGGGTCTGAAGAGAACCTGAACAAATATTCCTGGCAGTTCTGAGCAGCATAGGGTGGGGCGATGCAAGTTATCAAATTAAATCCTCAAACAGTGGCTGCTCCGCATCACTGCTCTGCTTTAGTCCTGCCATAGCAGTAGACAAAGGGAGTTTGCTTTTGTGTTTTTTCCAAAGTCCGTACTAAATAGCAGTGCGTACTCTCCAAACATACTCTTCAAACCCGGCTTCATCCACCACAGTTCAAGGAAAGAATGGCCAGACATGCTCCTCTCAACAAGCACAATGTGCCTCCAGAAAGCAAAGCTCCACACAGCCCTTTGTGGATGGGCTTTCATCCTCCGTAGATCCACCAAGCCTGTCCTGTTCCTTTGCCTCTTGGGAGTATTCATCAGTCATGCGTCTTATCAGATTGTAAGCTTCTTGTGAGCAAGAACCAGGCTGCCTTTTAATTATATAAAGCCCCTGTGTGACCATGGATGTGTGTAGGTGCTTGATAACCCTGGATACACCTTAGAGATAGTGTACCACCCACACACACCTTTCTTTACCGCTTCCTTCCTCCCCCAGCCCAAGGTCAGACACAGCACCACTGGCTCCTTAGGGTCTGCGTGGGTCTGTGGGAGGGGGTCTGTGTGGGAGGGGAGAGGAGGGCAGCAGCTCACTGGCAGAACAGGCCACGCCCACCCTCCCCTGTTGGCACACGCACTCTGTCCCAGGCCCAGCCCTGCCATTTTACTTTCCCTTTTCTTCTGTGAGGTTCAGGGAATATATTAATCATAAGACATAAGCAGGGTGGGTTGTCTGAGTTTTGGGATAGTTTACTTAAAAGAAAAAAAGTCTGGAAAGTAAAAGCCCAAAGAGAAGGTCAAAGAGTTGATTGCGGAGAGGAGCTGGAAAGAGTTAGAGGGGATGAGAATGAGGGAAGGCAGCCCAATTTAGAAATATTTATTCTGACATCAGCTTTTCTCCCCGTAAACCACTGAATTTAGATAAGTTTAGGAAGGGCTACAGTACATCAAAATGACTAAAAGCACAGGTTTTAGGATCAGATATGGATTTCATTCTAGTGTGTGATCCTGGGCAAATTATTTAACCTCTCTGAACCTGTTTTCCTACAACGTAAGATAAAGAAAATATACTCAGCTTATGAGAATTAAGTGAGATAACATACAGTGAATCAACACAGGGCTTAGCATATTTATCACTCTTCCGTAAGTAACCATGGCTGTTACTAGAGCTGTTAACAAGGGAAGCGTCAAGTGGGAAGCAGAACTTCCAGGTGGAGACCCCAGGACCAGCCCAGCTAACGACGTGACCTTGGACAGGTCATTTCCCCCATCACTGTGGAATAGCACAGGGATGCACCACAGGACATGGCAGGATGGCTGACGAGATTCGGAAGTGAATTAGGAAGAAAGCTGGATGAATGCCTGCTGGGACAGGCCTCATCTCCCCACTTGTTCTATGATGTTTCAGTCCCAGGAAGACAAGAGCCATGTCTCTGAGCAGCGCCTTCAGGGCTGTGGGCAACGACCCCGGGATCATCACCTGGAGAATAGAGGTGAGAGCGGCTGGAGGCACAACTTCCTCCTCATCCTGAATCTGGGGCAGACTCCAGTCAGTCAGGTCTGCTACAGGACAGTCCTCCTTAGTCTCTGGCCTATGCTTCAGAAACAGTGAGGGGAAGCATCAAAGTGCTCATTTTCCTACCCTTGACCCCTTCTGGGTGCACAAAGCAGGTGGGTGGCAGGTGTAGGAAATGTTCTTAACCTTGGAGAATAGAGCTCCGAGCAAAAATAAGCTTGCCCTTTATTCAGCCATCTGCTCCTTGCAGTCTGCACTTCCAGTAAATGCCCTGGAGAGATGGGTGGGGCCAGGGCCCACCCAGGAGACTGCTACTCCTGGCTGCTCTGTGGGAAAGATGGAACAGGTTTTCCTCAGAGTACTCAGGCTCCCACAAAGTAGTAGGGGAGGCTTGGGGGCACTGCACAGATCGGGGCCCGGTTCATCCCTTCTCACACCTGGACTTGAGCCCCTACGGCTGACCTTGAGCTCCAACAATCTATAGATGGGAATCACCCTGGCCTGGGCAGCCCCACCTGCCAGATGTGAGGACCCCCACCCACCCCCATTTCCCTGCTCTGGGCCCAGTGAGTGGCTGCTGAATAAAACCTAGAGATGATGCCTCACTCCACTATCCATGTGGAAGGGGAGTCACAGCCTCTAGCAAGCAGCTCAGAGCTCGTGAGAGGCCCAGGACACTTCCAATAAGTACTAAAAAGTACAAATATTATGCGATATTTAACATTTTTACATCTACCACATGCTTTATATAGAATACACACAAGTATGACTGCAGATTTACCTTACTTGAAGGTAGTGATGAAAACCTACATGTGAGGCCATGGGAATAGTCCTCTTGGGACAAGACAGACATGCAGGTGGCAAATCAGGGCCCCAACCCAGACTCCAAATATGGGACGATGGGCTTGGAGCCCCATACACTGCTGGCATTCACCCCACAAAGCCCCACAGAATTTCAGCATTCTGTTCTTGCAGACCTTGGCCAGCACTGGTGGTCGGAGTTGGAGAGCAGTGTCAGAGGCAGTGGTGTAGCTGCTCAGAGCCGGGGTTTTATTTGATAGCTTATCTCTAACTCTTTTCCCTGCAATAGGCTGGAGGTCCTCGTAGTGCAGCAAGACAGGACAGGGCAGGGCAGGTGGTGGGAGGGAGGATGGGGTGAGGACAGGCACCCAGATTCAGACTGTGGCTATCCAGGCCAAGCTCAGAAGCCAGGTGGCCATGATAATCCTGTAGCTCTCTGCCAAACCCTGTATGATCAATGGGAACACCTCCCCTACCTCTCCCCTGCCACCTGTGCGGGGGAGGAAAGGGTGGCTTGGGGAAGGGAGAGGAAGGAGGGAATGCAGCCTGTGCACATCCCTGTCCTTCCAGAAAATGGAACTGGCCCTGGTGCCCCTGAGTGCTCATGGCAGCTTCTATGAGGGGGACTGCTACGTCATCCTCTCGGTGAGCAACACCCACTCCCCTGCCCAGTTCCACAAGCTTCTCCTGAGAATCAGGCTCCATGGAGAGACCAGCCAATGATGCTAATCAGGCCTGGTGTCCCCTTGATTCCTCCTCAGCGTTGTACAGGACAGGCCTCCGGTTGAACCATTAAAGGCCATTCTTAGGCAGGGTTTTTTTAATTTTGCACCAGAGGGTGGGGGTGGGGCCCTCAGTCTGAACCTGGATAAGTAGCTCACAAATAGCACATCTCCCTGGGGAGGGGGCAGACCCCAGTTTACAGCGGTGTGGAGGAAGGCCAGATAAATGCAGGCCGTGTCTGGTCTCAAAGTGCTCATTCTAGTTGAGGAAACAGTATCACACATGAGCAGTGATGACAAAGCCGCAAGACGGACAGATCAGCACTGTGCCAGCTGTGTAAGTGCAGGGGCGCAGCAAGGTAAGTCTGCGGTCCAAGTTGGAAAAGGTCCCCATTGCTCTCCATTTATTTTGAGAACAATAATGTGTAAATTTTCCCCAAATGTGGGGAGGAATTGGAGCTGCCAGAACTTGAGCCACACAGCAGGTCTGCAGGGAGGGAGAGAGGTCTGGAGCCTCCCAAAGACAGAGCCACTGTATGCTGCATTCTTCCCGCACCAGCGGGGCCAGCAGCAACGGGCAGGTGAGCTGGTCCCTGATCTGATCTCTCTGGCTGCATCCCAGACCCGGAGAGTGGGCAGTCTCCTCTCCCAGGACATCCACTTCTGGATCGGGAAGGACTCCTCCCAGGAGGAGCAGAGCTGTGCAGCCATCTATGCCACACAGCTGGATGACTACCTGGGGGGCAGCCCCGTGCAGCACCGAGAGGTCCAGCACCATGAGTCCGAAACCTTCCGTGGCTACTTCAAGCAGGGCATCATGTGAGTAGTTATGCATGAGCAAGGACAAAAATGGCAGTTTACCAAAAAGGAAATTCAAGGAGCCAATAAGTATATGAAGAAAGTAATCAGAGAAATGTAAATCAGAACAAAGCTCTCATTTCCACCTACTAGAGTAGCACGCATCTGAGAGCTGGGTGATGCCAAGTGTTGGCGAGGTTGGGGTGAAGGAGCCCTCACAACTTGCTGGTGGGAGGGAGACTGGCACAGCATTCCAAAGAGTAAGCTGTCCCTGAGGCAAATCCCACTTCTGAGGGTATAACTCAAAGGAACTCTCACGTACCCAGCTCCATAAAGGCACATGAACCAGAATGTTCACAGCAGTATCAATAGTGGTGGTAGAAGCTGCAGGCAATATAGAAGCCGATCGCTGGGAGTTTGGACAGGAAGAATACTCCATGACACCAAAGAGTACTATGCAGGAGCTGGAAGCAACCTTTAGATACACACCTAACATGTGGACACAACTTAAAATCATGGTGCTCAGTGAACACAGTAAGAAACAGCCTTGAGATGTGTAACAGAATGCCACTTTCTGTTTTAAAAAAATACGTGCACACAAGATAACAGGCCACATTTCACCAGAATAAAAATAAATCAGTGTTAAACTGTTAGAGTGGTTGCCTATGGCAGGGTGAGGACTGGGAGTAGGGTATGCAGATAAAAGAGAATACATAAATACCTAAAACAAGAGAGGAGTCTGATAAAGGCCAATAACAATGCTGCTCCATGAACTAATGAGTTTGATTAACTCAGAACTCCACACTTGAGAATGAAACAAAAAGAGAAATTTCAATGAGCTGGAGAATTCTGAGGCTGGTCCAAAGCCAGCTTCCTGCATATTGGCAGTTCCCACTGAGGACCTGCTGGGCCCAGAGCATCACAATGTGTTATTAGGGAACCAAAGACATCCCCACCCTCCGCTCCACGATGGCTTTCTGCATGCCCTTCCCGTGCGGGACACCTGGGATGGAGGCCGGGCTGGCTGAGTGCCAGGGGCAGGAGAACTAATTCGAGGAGTGAGCTGGTCCTAAAGCCATGGTGTCACCCATGCTGCTGCTATTGCCGCTGCCCGGCTTGTGCCCCTCCCCCCACCACACGCTGATACTCACATAGTCCCTAGAGCAAAACGAGCTCTTTCATGCAGTGGGTTCTGTATCATCGATGCTCCTTCTGTCTTGAGCACTAGTTCCTTGTTGGTTCCTGTTCCTTTACTATCTCAGCTGGAATGTTACTCCTTCTGAGAAGACTGCCCTGACCACTGTCAAAAAGTCCATCAGAAACTGCATCTGTGTAATTCACCACCGTCTCCCCTGTCCCTGGCACATAGCAGGGGCTCAAAAAATAACTGAATGGATGTTCCCTTAGCTACAAGAAGGGCGGTGTGGCCTCTGGGATGAAGCATGTGGAGACCAACACCTATGACGTGAAGCGGCTGTTACATGTGAAGGGGAAGAGGAACATTAGGGCCACTGAGGTAAAGTCCTGCCCACTCTCTGTTCTGGGCCCAGGGCCTCTCTGCCTGGTACCTAAGAATTCCCCCTGAATAATTTCTAACTCCAGGTGGAAATGAACTGGGACAGTTTTAACCAAGGTGATGTCTTCTTGCTGGACCTTGGGAAGGTTATCATCCAATGGAACGGTCCAGAGAGCAACAGTGGGGAGCGCCTGAAGGTACCGCTCTTTCCAGTCTTCCCGCTTTCTCTTCTCCCTCAGGCCTGTCACAGGGCTTGGCTCTCTCGGGTGCCTTTTCCTTCTTCCTTCTTCACTGGCTCTTCCCTGAGATTCAAGGTGAACCCCTGCCTTGGAGTAGAATCTGTTTTATTTACTTACTTATTTACTTATTTATTTAATCTTCACCCAAGGATATTTTTTCCATTGGTTTTTTAGAGAGTGGAAGGGGAGAGGAGAGACAGAGAGAAAGAGAGAGAGAGAGAGAGAGAGAGAGAGAGAGAGAGAGAGAGAGATATTGATTGGTTGCCTCCCACAATCACCCCAACCGGCGCCGGGGATCGAGCCTGCAACCAACTTGCCTTTGGCCAGAATCAAACCCAGGACCCTTCAGTCCATGGGCCGACACTCTAACCACTGAGCCAAACCAGCTAGGGTGGAATCTGTTTTAGAAAGAGGTCAAGTGTGTGAGTCTGTCACTCACCCCTGGGCTCCTCAGCATCAGAATAACTCCTGTCTGGGATCTAGGCTGCTCCTCCGAAAGCCGCCAGGCAGGAAGGGTAGATGCGTAGAGAAGCTGAGTGCTTTCATGGGTTTCTTTGACAGGCTATGCTTCTGGCAAAGGATATTCGGGACAGGGAGCGAGGGGGCCGTGCTGAAATAGGAGTGATCGAGGGAGACAAGGAGGCAGCCAGCCCAGAACTGATGAAGGTCCTCCAGAACACCCTCGGCCAACATTCTGTTATCAAGCCTGTGGTCCCAGATGAGATCATAGATCAGCAGCAGAAATCAAGTATCATGTTATATCAGTGAGTAGCTAAATCTGGCTGGTTGGAAGCTGGGATGGGGGGAAGTTGCCCCCTAGAAGACTAGGCACTTCTGCTTGGCTCCTCATTTGGGGTGCAGGAGTCTGGCTTTCTTTTAGTCCTTTTCAAATGCAGTTTCTACAAAGAGCTTGGTGTTCCAATTCAAGGAGGCAGCCACCATCTCTCCCTGTCAGCAACTCTCCCTGGTCTCTTGGGGAAACTGTTCCTTTACTTGGATCTATACATGGACAGGGATGTGGATGGGATGTTTGGAGAGAGATGCACAAAAGTCTCCTCTAGAGAACAGAGTCCCTCACATTCCTATCTGCACTCAAGCTACACCTGTCATAGGAAGTCAGACTCTACCCAGAAACTCCATATTAAAACAGAGCCAGGAAATTATCAAACAACTATAAGATGCTTTGTAGAAGAAAAGGCACAGGCTAACCTCTCCCTTTCTCTAGTGTCTCAGACTCGGCTGGGCAGCTGGTGGTCAGAGAGGTGGCAACGAGGCCTCTGGTCCAGGACTTACTGAACCATGATGTAAGTAGGGCTTGGGTGGGCTTGGCGTGGGGTGACCAGACCTGGCCTCAGAGGCAGGCCCTGGGGAAGATGCAACCACTTTATCCCTGACTGCTTCAGGACTGCTACATCCTGGACCAAAGCGGGACCAAGATCTACGTGTGGAAAGGAAGAGGAGCCACAAAGGCGGAGAAACAGCTGGCCATGTCTAAGGCCCTGGTAGGAGCAATATTGTCCAAAAAATTGTCACCAACACTTCAGATGGGCTCAGAGAGCCACACTAGGCACTTGAGCACATAACATTGCAGTTATATAGATGGACTTTGAAGTCAAGCAAACTGAGATTCAAATCTAGGTTCAATGCCATCTCCTGGAGTTGTTGTGAGGATTAAATGACATTTGTAAAGCATTCAGAACAGTACCTGGCACACACACTGGCTCAGTAAAAGGTGGCTGTTATTACTAAAAGGGACAGATATCACTTATCAAGGTTAACGGCCCTGTCCTCAAGAAGCTTATGATATTGTGCAGAGCCATGCAGGTGAACCAAGTAGGATGCACTTACAAAGCAATAAATGGGCAAATGAGTGTGATACAAAGTCAGTACAATACATGAGAGTTGAAAGAAAAGAGTATAGAGCATTGTGGGGGGGAAAAAAAAAAGAGTTGCTCTGTCCAGTGTGGCACAGCTGGTTGAGTGTCTTCCCATGCACCAAAAGTACATTGGTTCAGTTCTTGGTCAGGCCACATGCCTGGGTTTTGGGCTCGATCCCCAGTGGGGTATGTGCAGGAGGTAGCTGATCGATGTTTCTCTTTCCCTCTCCCTTCCTCTCTCTCGAAAATCAATTTTAGAAACATATTTTAATAAAAGTAATACTCATGACAGGTCAAAAAAGAGATGACAAACTGTCCTACTCAGTCCTTTCCTTGAGTCAGGTAAGTGTCCCTAGACGGAAGTGAGTTAGAATTTGACTCTGACTCCCAGAAGGGAGCAAGGGAGCAATCCTACCAACTGGCTTCAAAGGGGTGATTCACTAGCCAAGCAAAGAACTCAGTGCATTCCCTGACTGACCTGCCTGTCTGGGGGCGGGGTGTATCTACAGAACTTCATCAAGATGAAGGGCTACCCTAGCAGCACCAATGTGGAGACCGTCACCGATGGTGCAGAGTCAGCCATGTTCAAGCAGCTGTTCCAGAAGTGGTCAGTGAAGGAGCAGACCGTGGGCCTGGGGAAAACATTCGGCATTGGCAAAATCGGTAAGACTGCCCAGACTGTCTTCTTACTGCTGGGACTGAAGAATGGCAGGCACGGATGCTGTTCACTCGCTTGGCTTCTCCCAACCCCTTCTCTGCAGCTAAAGTTTTCCAGGATAAATTTGATGTGACCCTGCTGCACACCAAACCAGAGGTCGCTGCCCAGGAAAGAATGGTCGATGACGGCAGTGGAAAGACTGAGGTGAGCCTATTGGTTCCCGTCTCAGTACAGGCAGCACGGGCCCTCCTAGCTACTCTGCTTAAGAGGAGGGGCAACTGGGTCTGCGCCTGCTTTGCTTTCCTTTTCATCTCCGGTGCCTCAGGAGGATCCTCTAAGAGGTGTCTGGGTCTGCAGTTTCCCACAATTCTTCAGGGAAGTGAAAGGCAGATACTCCAATGAGCTATCAATAACGCACCTGGAAGATCTATTCAAATAATCTCTGAGGCGTGCTGGGGAGGTGCCTGACCAGGGACAATCCAGTTCTCCTCCAGATTCAAATCATGCAAATGTGATAAGCCCTCACCACTGAGAAAGCAGCACCAGAGGAGGCAGGGGGACTTTGAGTGGACAGAAGTTAGTGCCTTACATGGGGATTCTCTGCTAAGCATGACCCCGTTCCCTTCAGGCAGCTCTCTTCAAATAGGACCCCATCTCTGAGGAATTGTCTCCTTCTGTGCCCAGGTCTGGAGAATTGAAAACCTGGAGCTGGTACCCGTGGAGCATCAGTGGTATGGCTTCTTCTATGGGGGAGACTGCTATCTGGTTCTCTATACATATGAGGTTTATGGGAAGCCGCATTACATCTTGTACATCTGGCAGGTAGGCCTGGGGTAGGCTCTGCTTTCAGAGATGGTGCCTCCTCTGGCCACTGAGCTGGGGCAGGGATAGCAGCGGCCCTTCCTCCCGTCACCTCTGCAGGGCCGCCACGCCTCACAGGACGAGCTGGCAGCCTCCGCATACCAGGCGGTGGAGGTGGATAGGAAGTTTGATGGGGCCCCTGTGCAGGTTCGGGTTACCATGGGGAAGGAGCCACGCCACTTCATGGCCATCTTCAAAGGAAAGCTGGTTATCTTTGAGGTGAGAACCCTCAGATAAAGTTGCACCATGAGCCAGAATGCTCAGAACTAACAAGCCTGCAGGGGCTATGGTGGAGGAGGGGAGGGGTGGGGAGCCGGCCTTGAGGTAGCCATGGATAAGAAGGGGTTAATCTCTCTAAGACACTAAAGTGAATCCCAACTGCCTAGGACTTCAAGTCCAAACCACTGCCTAATTCATGTTCAAGGTCTTTCACAATCTGACCCATATTGCCTGTGTCGGTGTGTTACCCCTCAGCTCCCTTACCTCCACGCTCCACTGCAGACAGGTGGGTCTCCTCACTAGACCACACATGTGCCACATCCCTCCCTGTCCACCTCCCCCACTGAATGTACCCTTTCAGATTCAAGTTCTACTTCTTCCACGAAGCCCTGGCTGAAGCACTACCAAAAATGTACAATGTCACAGGCTTGATATACACAACTCCGTGGTCATTTATTAGCCAGCTTTCTAAGCCTCAGTTTCCCCATCTGTAATATGGGATAATACCTTCACAGAATTATTTGGAGGTTCAATGAAATGATATAGGTAAGGCACCAGCCACAAAGCCTGGCATATAACAGTGGTCTCAGAATGAAACAAGTTAACATTATTGGTACCATAACTCCAGGTCACCCCCACCTTTCCATTAGCCCACCAGCTCCTCAAGGGCAAAGACAGTGTCAAATACATCCATGTTCTCCTCAACAGCTAGCCCAGAGCTCTGCTCACATGGTGCACCTCAAGTCCAGACTCTGCTTTTCTCGTCTCTAGGGTGGGACTTCCAGGAAGGGAAATGCCGAGCCTGATCCTCCAGTAAGACTCTTTCAGATTCAAGGAAATGACAAATCTAACACCAAAGCAGTGGAGGTGCCAGCCTTTGCCTCCGCCCTAAACTCCAATGACGTCTTTCTGCTGCGGACCCAGGCAGAGCACTACCTGTGGTATGGCAAGGTAGGATGGCTGGTCCCAGTGGTCACACCAGCCCTGGACCCACCCTCCTGTAAGCAAGGGCAAAGGAATTAAAGAGCAGGCTGGAACAGTCCACAAAAAGAGGAGCCTTTTTCCTAAAGCATCTTCAAAGGGAACTGTTAACATTCCCCACAATTAGGCCTCCAACTAAAAAGTCAATGACAGTCCTACTCATACTCAGGAGACACACCATAAACTTCTAACTGGACAGGGGCTGAATAAGTCAATCTTTCCACACCAATTTGGTGGATTACAATAGAATAGGCATTACACTGAACAATAACACTAAAATGTGATTCTGTCAATTCAGACTGCATCTGCACTAAAGAGTACTAAGTTGTTTCCAAAAGAGAATTCAACAGGAAAAGATGCTCAACATCATTAGTCATTAGGGAAATGCAAGTGAAAACCCAATGAGATACCTCTACACACGTATTAGAATGGCTAAAAAGACTGACAATATCAAGTGTAGGTGAGAATGCAGAGCAACAGGAACCCTCACACATTGCTGGTGGGAATGCAAACATGGCCTTTGAAAAACAATTTGATAGTTTCTTATGAAACATACACTTACCATATGTTCCAACAATCCCACTCCAGGGCATTTACCCGTGTGAAAGAAAACACTGTCTTTACACAAAAACCCATACACAAGTATTTTTAGCACATAGCACCTTTATTCAAAATCACCAAAAACTGGAAGCTACTCCACTGGAGAATGGATAAACAGTATTACATCCATACAAGGGAACACCACTCAGCAACACAAAGGAAAAGTGTTGGTACCCACAACCACAAGGGTGATACTAAGTGGAAGAAGCCAGACTCAAAGTCTACATAGTGTATGATTCCATTTATGACCTTCTGGAAATGGCAAAACTATCGTGATGGAGGAAAGAGTCATGGTTGCCAGAGGTTGATTTAAAAGGGTATGATACAAAGGGGTAGCCTGGATGAACTTTTTGTAGGGATGAGGCAACTGTTTTTGATTCTTTGTTATGGTAGCATGATTCTATGCATTTGTCAAGACTCAGAACTGTACACCAAAAAAAGTGAATTTTCTTGTATGTAATTTTAAAAATAAGTTTAAGAAAATCAAAAGTAGGTGCTAAAATTCCGACTGAAACCAAAACAAAGGTGACTCTTGTCAACATTCATGTGGGTTTCAGAGTCTAGCTCTGTTCTTTGCCACAACACTCATTTTCCTCCCCCTACTCCAACCCCTCCCCAGCACTAGAACAAACCTATTCCCTGTCCCAAAGTACTGTGGCTTGGTAGCTGATCCTAGCTACACTAAGTTATTAGTCTCAGAAGCATTTTTCTACATCAGCGTGCTTATGTGCGACTAACATCTTTGTTCTCCTCACCCCATTCCCAGGGGTCTAGTGGGGATGAGCGGGCAATGGCTAAGGAACTGGCCACGCTTCTCTGTGATGGCACTGAGGACACTGTGGCAGAGGGCCAGGAGCCCCCTGAGTTCTGGGAACTGCTGGGAGGGAAAACTCCCTATGCCAGTCACAAAAGGTATGGGCCCACAGCATCACCTCCTCTTGGCTCCCTCTGCCTCCCAGGCTTGTGAACTGCACATGATTTCTAAGCAGCTCAGTTCCTCCAAATGGACTGTATTGCAGATTACAGCAGGAAATCCTAGATGTCCAGCCCCGTCTCTTTGAATGTTCCAATAAGACTGGCCGGTTCATTGTCACTGAGATCACAGACTTCACCCAGGATGACCTGAACCCAGGTGATGTGATGCTCCTGGATACCTGGGACCAGGTAAGACACAGCCAAAGTGTTTGGAACAAGTGACAAAGATCCTTACAGTTTGGGCTATTTTTATATAGCAACTCCTGCCAGGATAAACCCAGAGTAACCCTGGACCATCCCCAAGTCAATCAAACAACTGTCAGTGGTGACCAATGAAAGAGCCTGCTTTTTACCAGGGTTGGAAAGAATAGAATGTTGTTTAAAATTCACCATCCTGGGAATTTTCCCACCTTGCTCTGGGAAAAATCAGGCCACCCTATCATCAGGCACTTCTTTCTCTCAAGACCAATAGCAGCAGGCTCCACACCCAGAGAAACGGGCCTTTTAGGAACAAAGGGGTAAGAAAGGGGTATCTTCAAGGCAACCCCTTCCTGACATCCCATTTTCTTCAGTTCAGCTCAGCAAACACACTCAGCGCCTCCTCTGTTCTAGTCACGGCAAGGTGTGGTATCACCAAGGTGAAAAGTGCCATTTTGCTCTGTTTTGAGACTTCACAGGCTGATGGGGGCTGGGGGCAGGGGGTGGACATAGAAACATCATTTTATTATGATGGAGGTGCCACAGGAGCACAAATTAGGGGCTCTCACATAGTTTAGTGGCTCAGAGCTGACTTCCTGGAGGAGATGGCTCCCAGGCTGAATCTCAAATGATAAATAGGCATTAATCAGGTAAAGGGGGCATTCCAGGCAAAGGAAACAGCACAAGTAAAAGCAAGGCATGAAATAGTCTAGTATACAGGGAACTAGAAAAAAATATCATCAGAGCGTAAGATAGACTTAAAGAGCACCCTAGAGAACAGAGATGAAGAAGTAGGTATGGACCTTATCTACCACGTGAAAAAGTCTGAGATTTACCCTGGAAAGCTACTGAAGTTTAAGCAGGTGAGTGACAAGGTCAGACTGTGCTTTAGATCGAGCATTCTGGCAAGTGTAGGAGAGGAGGGATGGGGGGATAATAAAAGAAGACTATGCCGGGAGTCCAGTCAGTAGACTACTGTTATAGAACAGCAAGAGCTGCCACAGGCCTGCACAGGAGCAAAGGAGTAGAGATGCAGGGATGGTGACAGATTTCACAAATGCATAGGAGGTAAAATGGCTGGCCTTGGTAACGTACTGGATATGGGGGGTATCTAGGGTGAATCCCAGGTTGCTGCCTTCTAAATGATGGGGTGGATGCCATTCACCAAGAACAGAGACAAAGACAAGTTTAGAAAGGAAGAGCTACATTTTGAGGTGTTATATTTGAGGCGCTTGAAGACAGACAAGAGGAGGTTGCAACAAGTTAGACTCAGGAAGTTGAAGTTCAGAGAAAGAGCTCAGGACTGCAGATGTAGATGCCATGAGAGATGCACATGGATTAAAATCACAAATCAATAAAAATAAAAAATAAAATAAAATAAAATAAATCACAAATCAAGATGATTCTGAGAAAAGCTTTGTCCTCTGGGGCTGTGAATTGCTGAGGGGGAAGAGAGTGTTTATGATCTAGTACATAGTCCTTGTTATGAACGCATTAATAGAAATTCAATCTCTACTACAACAGGTGTTCTTGTGGATTGGTGCTGAGGCCAATGCCATAGAGAAGGAGAGAGCCCTTGCTACAGCCCAGGAGTACCTGCACACTCACCCTAGTGGCCGAGACACTGACACACCGATCCTGATCATTAAACAGGGGTTTGAGCCTCCCCTCTTCACAGGCTGGTTCTTGGCCTGGGACTCTCACCTTTGGAGCGTAAGAACAGAGAGAATGGGGAGGCGTTCTTACTGTCAGGGAGCTCGGCATTAATAGCTCAGTGGGAAGGTGGGATACTCACGGGCTGGGTAAATCCAAATCCACATTTCCCTTACTCCCAGACACCTCCCTGCTTTTTACTTTTCTTCTCTTTCCCACCCTCCACAGCACTAAGTCCAGTTAGAGAATTCATAGCTTGTTTCAGGAATAAGCAGCGTGCAGAAGTAATAATGTTTAGAAAGTATATCCACACACATCGTTTTTAGCTTTACAGCTATCCTGACAGCTAGGGTAAACATGGTTTTCCATGTTACAGATTAGGAAGCTTAGAGAAGTTATTTGTCTAAAGTCACAATTAACCAGGCTTTCTGACTCCTAGTCATCTGCTGTCTTAAGTCCTGTATGGAGGACTGAGGGACTACCAGCAGAGAATGTATATTATGTTTATGTACCTTCCAATCTTATATGGGCCCAGAAGGGACTTGCATTTTTGCTCATGCCTGAAATGTCTTCTGATTCCCTGGCATTTTTGCTTTCCTCAAGGGTACAGACTAGGCCTGAGATGGCCCTCCTTACACCCAGCACCTCATCCTATGTTTTCTATCCTTTACAGGTGGGAAAATCATATGAACAGTTAAAAGAAGAGCTGGGAGACGCTGCTGCTATCACGAGAATCACTGCTGTGAGTTTCTTGGAGGAGCAAGTCACAAAGGCAACCAGAGCCAAAGAGAAGCAGCAAGTGCTACAGAGGCCACATGGGCGAAACCCTATGATGTCCTTCATAGTATCGCTCTAGTGGTCTGTTCTGATATGAAGATTGTTTTAATCAGTAAAAAAGCAGGTGTCAGAGCCAGGTTCCTTATTTTACTGCCTTCTAGAATTTAGAACAGATTTGCTGTTTTTTAAGAAAAAAAATTAAAAAAACTAATTTTATTATTCAACTCTCTCTGTCATTCAGGATAGATTAAATTTACTGACAGCATTTTTCAGAAGTAGTAAGTTTCTAACCCAAATGATATGCTTATCAGTTTCTGACAGTGGAGTCCACAGAAATTCAGGTCATTACCCCTATTTTAATGGCTAAAAGAAATGGAGCCTCTGGCCAGGAATTCAACAGCAATTTAACATCAGGATGAGTGCATGGCACCAGCTGTCCAAACCAACTGGCAATTATGTCCTTTGTACTCTACAAACTCAAGATTCCAAAGCTAATGGTGATGTAGCATCTTTAAAATGTATTTAAGAAAAGTATGACTTCAGTTGAAGTCATTTAAAGGCTGGAAATGTAGAACCTAAGTGCCAAGAGAAGGGATGTGATCACAATATTTAAATGAGATTTAAGCACAGCATTGATGCCAAACTGGCTATACAGGATTTACCTCAGACTTACCCAGCTTTCCCAAGGACCTCAAAGTCTGAATATTTTAGATTCCCAGATTATTCTGACACACAGCCAGGTTTGGGGACAACTGTTCTAAAAGATAATTACAAAGGGCGAAGTGGTATGAACCAAAATTTTAATTTTATACACACAGAACTTTGCACGGACCTGATGAGTTTTTATCCTGTGTCTACTTTTTTATCTTATCTTACCTAGGACATGAGGAATGCAACCCTCTCCCTGAATTCTGAGATAAAATATTACCCTATAGAAGTTCTACTGAAAAATCAGAATCAAGAATTGCCTGAGGATGTGGACCCTGCCAAAAAGGAGGTGAGTAGGTGAAGAAACTATGTCTGATGCAAGTGGAGCTCTCTATGAGTAAAGTACCTGTCTCAATATATGGCCTAGGACAGTTCTGGAACACTGTAAGCACTCAAAAGACATTTGAGCTACCCAGCTCAAGCCAAAAACCCAGGGCTCCTTCCTGATACTTTCTTCTCACCTCTCACATCAATCCATCAGCTAGCCCTCTGTCCATTCCTCTCCATATCTCTGCTACCAGTCTGGTCCAGCCATCGTGGCCTACTGCAATAGTTTCTATACCACCCTACAATCTGTTCCCCACCTAACAACCAATGGGCTTTTAAACAGAGCAGATGACACTGCTCTATTTTAAAGACCATGAATGGCCTTTTCACTGCATATAGAGAAGAATCCAAAGTCCTTTCCATGGCCTCCAGGACCTGGTCCAATCTGACCCCTGCTCCCCCTCTGATTTCATCTCACACACCACTACCCTCTTCACTTAGACCCCTTCAGCCAGTGGCTGCTTTTCTTCTAATATGCTCATTCCAGCCTTTGAGCCTTTACACTTGCTAGTGCTCCTGCCAGAAAAAACATAACAAAGCCAACTCCTTCACATTATTTAGGTCTCAGCTCCAATAACATCCCCAGGAAGGCCTTCCCTACCTACCTAACACTGCTTCCGTCATCCCTCCAGTCCCTTTATCCTTGCTCATTGTCAGTCTCCTCCAGTAGTACCCTTAGCAGCAAGGACCTTATCTGACTTATTCACCATCATATTCCCAGCTTTTCACCACCTAAAAGAGTACCTGGCAGATAGGAGGCACTGCTGAAGTTTCGGTTAAATGAATTAACATACTCATGTTGAATGAAGTAATTTATTCTCCCCTGGAAGGATCTGATTTGGGAAGGGTCTCTAGACTTTCCACAATGTCTTTTTTTTTTTTTTTTTAAATATATCTTTATTGATTTCAGAGAGAGAGATAGAAACATCAATGATGAGAGTCATTGATCGCTGCAGCCCGCAACCCGGGCATATTCCCTGACCGGGAATCAAACGCCAATCTCCTGGATCCTAGGTCGATGCTCAACCGCTGAGCCACGCCCGGCTGGGCTCCACAATGTCTTATCTAACCAACTCCTGAGTACTAGACTACAACTTTCTTAAAAACAGAGGTCATGTATTAGTAATTTTACTTGGATAGAAAATACTCATTGAACATCAATAAATAAATGTGAGGAGAAATTTATGCTCTCAACAAGATCCACCTGATCTTGTATTTGAAAATGCCTGGGCCCTGGCCAGGTAGCTCATTTGGTTAGAGCATCATCCTCATACGCCAACGTCATGGGTTTGATCCCCATCAGGGCACATACAAGAATCAACCAATGAATGCATAAATAAGTGGAGCAACAAATCAATTTTTCCTTTCTCTCCCTCCCTTCCTTCCCTCTCTCCCTCTCCCTCTCTTCCCGCACCCTTCCTCTCTAAAATCAAATTTTTTTTAAAGTTGGATAAATCCCGGCCGGGAGTGGCTCAGCGGTTGAGCGTCGACCTGGGATCCAGGCGATCAGGGTTCGATTCCCAGTCAGGGCACATGCCCGGTTGTGGGCTTGATCGATGATTCTCTCATCATTGATGTTTCTGTCTCTCTCTCTCCCTCTCGTTTCCTCTCTCTGAAATCAATAAGGATATATTTTTTTAAAAATTTAAAAATAAAAAATAAAGTTGGATAAAAATAGATATGGGCATAAAGTAAGGAAAATCATCACTCAACTTAGTTCTCCATTTAGCCAAAACCTAATGTGTAGAAGTCACACAAAATATGTAAGCCATTTCTTGTCCTTCTGGCAAGAAACTGATGCCAGGTGAAACCGTAAGAGCAGTGAATCCAGTCAGTTCTTCCACAGGCCAAGATGGGACTCCACAACCTGAAGAGCTCTCCAATGAATAATTTAAGTCTATTACAGACTTTCTGAAAATTCGTTCTACTTCCCCCTTCAAGGACCTACCCCTCTTAGCCCCCACTTTCCCAAACTCTACGGGCACTAATAGGTGCCATGTCTTCCTTCTAACTGGAAACTTTGTCTTCTCTTTTAGAATTACCTCTCTGAACACGACTTTGTTTCTGTGTTTGGCATCACAAGAGGGCAATTTGTTGCTCTGCCTGGCTGGAAACAGCTCCAAATGAAGAAAGAAAAGGGGCTTTTCTAAGGCAAGAAAGCATACACCTACTGCAAGACCACAAAAGAGAGTAGATAGTGCCAATATCAGGAAAGAATTTATCTACCAATTGTTGCCTAACACTCAGCTACTTAATTTAGATAAAATAGGGTCTGCAAATCACAGCATGTTCTCCATTTTTCTTATCTCTGCATTCCTTAGTTGTTATATACCTAAAATGTTAACTACCCACTTTTTGATTTTGTGGCCTTCTGGCTAAAGCCTCAGCAGAAAACACTAAAACTACATGAATCTGGAAAATTCAAAAGTAAGACAACAAAAAAACTAAGTTTAAAGTGTTTAATATTAGGGCAAAAACCTAAGTTTGTTTTCAATTTTAAGATCAGTACATCCAAAATCTATTTAACCCACAAATCATTGAAGTTAATCACATGTATACCCCAAAGCCAAATGTCCAAATCTGTATGTGCCAGAGCTTTTAACTTTTCAAATAAAGATACCTATATGAGAAAATGGGAGTTCTATTCAGTATTATGGGTTTGCCCATTATAGTAATTATCTGATGTATTGTTGGGAGAATTGTTTCAGTACTAGGGAAGTAAAGAGGCACTACTGGGTGAGCTCTGGATAACTGGACCACTGTAATTCCCATTTCTGGCACAAGAATGCCAAAATCTGCCTTACAGCTGTCTGGGAAACCTTAGTCCCCACCCACCCATACTCCATTATCCAAAAGAAAACTAGGGTCATGTGTTATTAATTTCAGTAATGAGGCCAGAACCAGTGTGAATACCACTGCAGAGGGCCTTCAAAGCACACTACAGACATCAACAAATGAACCACATTTTCCAAACAACTCTAAGTTTGAGTCAACAATTCCAAAAGAAGCCATGTGGAAGGAGTAAAGTAACTGGGAAGTTCCAGGATAGACGCATAGTCCAAAGCATCACAAGAGAGTTCCAAGTCACAGAAGTAAGACAGAATGAGTTAGAATTTTAGGACACTGTGATAAATCTATGTTGAAGGGAGCACGTTGATGCCTTTTTCCCCAGAATCTGTCAGTCACTTCAATAAGGCCCACCTGTTGTTTTCTAAGACACAGAAAAGCTAAACCCAACATTATGCAAACAAGGAAAAGATTCTACTCTCTTTATTATATAACAATTTTATTTAATAACTTTACCCATGAAGTATAATTTCATTATAAACTCAAGTGAAAAACAAATCCTGGGTTTGAAAGAGCCTTAGGAAATAACTTCTTTTTGTAATAATGCTCAAAACTAAGAAGAAACATTTCCTCTTGGGCCAAAAGTCTCTGGAGCCTATTCAGCCTCTGCTGCCTCTTCGCATTCTCCACATTCAAAGCGCACAAAGTCTACTACAGACACTCCCTGGGGCTGCACATACTGTCCCAACGTGATAGAGGGATCCAGCAAGTATGGCTGGGACAGCATCTTGGTTTCTGTCTCTCCCCCAGGCTCATCATCCAGGGAGCCAACAGAGAGAGGGGCCATGCCTACCACATGCTGCCCAAGGCGGCGGCCAAGGTCTTCAAGGTTTGCTTTCCACTCAGATGTCTCGCAGATGACCAGGGCCCCGTACTTCCCCAGCACCAGGTTGTGGAGTGAGGGACTGTGCATTGCTCCATGGACATAAGAGCCAACATAGAACCCAGTTGGCACCTTCACCCATGCAGCTCGTTTAAGAGTCATGTTTTCTCCCAGTTTCCCTATAAAAAAGCAAAAGTAAAAGACACGCTTCCAGAATATGATGTCTGTGGTAGTACTAAATATACACAGAGGTGGCCAAGTTTCAGAGACAGTCCTCTGCATTTACACTGTGGATATGCTGTAAGATGGAGCTACCATTTTCAGTTTAAAGAGGAAAAGGTATGTGCCGGAAGGAGGTGGGGAAAAGGAAAGTACCTTTATGGAGCACCAACTATGTGCCAAGCACGCTACATTTAAAAACAGGCTATGCCCTAGCTGAAGAAGCTCAATGGTTAGAGCGTCGGCCCGCATGCCCAAGGATCTCGGGTTGAATTCCAGTTAAGGGCACGTACCTGGGCTGCAGGTTTGATCCCCAGCCCTGGTTGGGCCGTGTGCGGGAGGTAACCAATCAATGGGGTCTCTCATATACATGTTTCTCTCTCTTTCTCTCTCCCTCCTTCCCCCTCCATCTCTCCCTCCCCCTCCTTCTCTCCCTCCCTCCCTTCCACTCTCCCTAAAAATGAATGGAAAAAATATCCTCAGGTAAGGATTAACAAAAAAAATAAAAATTTAAATAAAATAAAATAAAATAAAAACATAGGCTATGGTGTCACACAGACCCTGGACTCAGATCTCAGTTCTGCTTCTTACCAGCTATATAGCTATATGACCTTAGGCAAGTGACTTAATGATATAACTCCATTTACTAATTTATCAAGTCTTAGTAGCTTCATCTGTAAATGGAAATGATACCACTTAAAATAACCTGAAAGCAGGGCTATTGGGAGAAATAAATAATATATATAAAAGCACTTATTACAGTATTTAGCACATACTGAGCACTCAAATGCTGGCTATTGTTTTAAACTTGGGCTTAGATAGCTTAAGTAATCTACTGGCAGAAGGTCACATAGCTCAGACATGGCAGACAAATTAAAACTCAGGTCTGACTCCAAAGCAATTAATTGATTTTTCCCACCAAATTACCATCCCTCCCAAATGCCACCATAACTGACACAGACAACTCCTGATCATTCATTGTACCAGGGAAAAGTCCACAACTAAAAGCCCCAGAAAACCCAAAACCGTCTGTCATCTCATAGTTTCAACTTCCTCTCATCAAAAAAAAAAATTTTTTTTAAATCACATTTTAAGAGGTCCTTATGAGAACCAAAAATGGATTTCAGTTTTCCCTTCTCTCAGGATGCTCTACCCTCTAGGAGATGAGAAGTCCAAATAAGCCAAAAGGTCAGAAGGGGTAGGAGAATAAACAAAGGGAGATCTAGATAAATATTCTTGAATTAGCCATAAGCTATATCTTAAAAAAATCACAAAAGGGGAGAATTCAGAAACCAGAAAGGCTCTTACAACAGCTCAAACATCTACCCAATAGTTAATTCCCAGAAATTGATGAGAGGCTGAAAAACCCAGTTCTTCCAGAATTTCTTAATAAGCCCCATACAAGGCTGTCTGCCTGGTTTCTCATCTATGACTCACTGAAACATTATACATACTTCAAGACGACTTGATAAAAATTGATGCCTTGACTGGAAATTTGAGATGAGCAATAAATTCCCAGCAGCAAGCTCAAACCCCAGCCTTACTTTCCTCCCTCCATCAAGGACACCTAGGAAGAAGGCAAAATCCCCACTAGTCCCACCACAATGATCCAAGCATGGTTTCTATAGCCAGCAGGTTCTGAAAGGCTGTACCTTCACAAGTTCAGGATAAGATGTTTTTACAAGAGAGACCAAATTCCTAAAACTAAGGCCCCTAAATTTTCCTGGATCCCTTTCTAAAAAAGGTGAAATGACTTTTGATGTGCTATTTCCCCTATAGTGTACAGAGAAGTAGTCAACTAGAAATCACCAGGACATCTCTGCCTAAAGATATGCTTTGTTTGGTCAGCATAGTGATACATGCAAATGTTGAAATAATTTTAATTAGTTACAAACAGCTAAAAACTGAGAATTTTGTACACAAATCTAAATTCTTTTAAAGAAACTTTAAAATTCTGATGACACTAGAACCCCATTTCCCCCAGGGTAACAACTGACTAGGGCTTGGTAATGGTTCCCCTTCAGCAGAGTGTGAGCTTTTCAGGGTCCTATTGCTCCCTAATACCTAACATACAACCCACTGAGCACATTCATATTATCTAACCTTTTAGGCACATGAGCTTGCAATTCTTGATCTAGATTTGGAGGAATACGAAAGACACCAAGAGATCCAATTCTTAATTTCTAGTTTCCAGAATCCTTACAAATACTCACCAATTGCTAAGGCCAGCTGATCCTTGAGAGAGCCTTCCCGCTCAGGCCCAGCGGGAAGTTCAGCAAGTTCAGAGGAATTCAGGAAGCCCTAAGTGCACACACACACAAAAATATACATGAATCAGGTTTCTGCTACTCAAATTATCAAAACACTACGCAAATATAGCCTATTTCTCAGAAATTTATTTAAGACAACTAAAAACAGATATTTACATTAAGCCAAGGACATAAAATATTGGTAACAGTTCCACTTTTATAAATATTTTACTCTATCACTACACCACCCCCAATTCCATTCCACTATCTTCTGGCCTAACTTCTTTTTTTTTCTTCTTTTTTTACGTATTTTCATTGTTTTTGGGGGTTTTTTTTAAGAGAGAAAGAGGAACAGAGAGGAAGAAAGAAAGAGAAACATCGATGTGAGAGAGCAACATCAATCAGCTGCCTCCTGCACAACCCCTACTCAGGACTGAGCTCAAAACCCAGGCATGTGCCCTGACCAGGAATTGAATCAGCAACCTTTTGGTGCACGAGTCAATACCCAACCAATTAAGCCACACTGGCCAGGCTGGCCTAACTTCCAAAAATGTAGTTTCCTAGATATCAGGAATAATATTTTCATATCAGTCATAAAATTTTAAGGCTAAAAAGGTTTGAAGATTGTTGGAATGCATAGTAGTACTCAAAGGAGGAAAATTGGACAACAGCTCACAAAACTGCATATACCTTTATCCTTTGACCCTGCAATACTATTTCTAAGAATTTACCAACAATACACTTCCCACAATATGAGTGTATGTATTCGTTGAGCAATTATTTCTTTTTTCAAAACTCCTCACCCATTGCTTTTCTGAGAAAGTGGAAGGGAGGGAGAAAGGGAGAGAAAATGATGTGAGAGAGACACACTGACTGGTTCCCTTCCACACATGCCCTGACCATGGCCGGGGATCCAGCCTGCAACCAAGGCACGTGCCCTTGGCTGGAATCAAACCTGGGACCCTTCAGTCCATGGGCTGATGCTCTAACCACTGAAGCAAACCAGCTAGGGCTGAGCAATTATTTCTAATAGTAAAATATTGGAAATAGCCTAAATGCCTAAACATAAGAGAAGACTGGTTGAATAAACCACAGCACAGCCATACAATGGTAAACTATGCAGCTGAAAATGAAAAAAGGAGAGCTCCGTGACCTGCTATGAAGTATTTCCAGGCTATATTAAGTGAGAAAAAGCAAATTAAAAGAGTATATACAAATTATACCAGCATTTGTGTATGAGATATTTGTATAAATATGCTTATTTTTGTGAAAAGACATAAAGGATAACCAGAAGCCAATGAAGTTGGTTATCTATGGAGTGGATAGGAAATGGGGTAGAAGTGAGAGAAGAGGGAGTAAGGAGTCCGTGTGTGAGTGACTGTGTGTATATGTGCGTGTGTGTATCTGTGTGTATCATAATTTTAACTTTCAGAGCCTTGTTAATATGTTACACATTCAAACACTAAGCTAACAAGGGTTTGGGGTGAAAACAAAAATTGACTAAACAAACATAAGACTCTAACTGTACTAGAATG